CTGGATAACCTAGAAGAAATGGACAACTTTCTAGAAAAATACAAGCTTCCAAGGCTGACCCAGAAAGAAACAGCAAATCCAAACAGACCAATTTTGAATACCAGCAATGAAATAGAATTGGTAATCGAAACACTACCTAAGAACAAAAGTCCTGGTCCAGAGGGCTTCACCACTGAATTTTATCAAACATTAGTGAAGACCTAATACCCATCCTCCTTAAAGTTTTCCAAAAAGTAGACGAGGAGAGAATACTCCCAAATATATTTTAGGAGGCCAGCATCATGCTAATACTAAAACCAGACAAAGACACCACAAAAAAAGAAAACTACAGACCACAATCCCTGATGAACATACATACAAAGACACTCAACAAAATATTAGCAAATTGAATTCAAACATACTTCAAAAAGATCATCCATCATGATCAAGTAGGATTTATTCCAGGGATGCAAGGATGTTACAATATTCGAAAATCCATCAACATCATCCATGACATCAACAAAAAGAAGGACAAAAACTACATGATCATCTCCATAGATGCCGAGAAAACATTTGACAAAATACAACATCCACTCATGATAAAAAGTCTCAACAAAATGGGTATAGAGGGCAAGTACCTCAACATAATAAAGGCCATATATGACAAATCAACAGCTAACATCATACTTAACAGCAAGAAGCTGAAAGCTTTTCCTTTAAGATTGGGAACAAGGCAAAGATGCCCTCTCTATCCATTTTTAATCAACATAGTTTCTGGAGGTCATAGACATGGCAATCAGACAATACAAAGAAATAAAAGGCATCCAGATTGGTAAGGAAGAAAAACTGTCACTGTTTGCAGATGACATGATATTGGACATAAAAAAACAAAAGAATCCACTCCAAAACTACTAGATCTAATATCTGAATTCAGCAAAGTTGCGGGATACAAAATTAATACACAGAAATCTGTTGCATTCCTAAACACTAACAATGAACTAGGAGAAAAAGAAATCAGGAAAACAATTCCATTCACAATTGCTTCAAAAAGAATAAAATACCTAGGAATAAACCTAAACAAAGAAGTGATAGACCTATACTCTGAAAACTACAAGACACTCATGAGAGAAATTAAAGAAGATCCCAATAAATGGAAACACATCCCATGCTCATGTATAGGAAGAATGAATATTGTCAAAATGGCCATCCTGCCTAAAGCAATCTACAAATTCAATGCAATCCCTATAATTCTTCAATGAACTTGAGCAAATAGTTCTAAAATTCATATGGAACCACAAAAGACCCCGAATAGCCAAAGCAATCCTGAGAAGAAAGAATAAAGCTGGGGATTATGCTCCCCAACTTCAAGCTCTACTACAAAGCCACAGCAATCAGGACAATTTGGTTCTGGGACAAGAACATATCTATAGATGATGGAACAGAATAGACAACCCAGAAACAAACCCAAGCATATAGGGTCAATTAATATATGATAAAGGAGCCATGGATATACAATGGGGAAATGACAGCCTCTTTAACAACTGGTGTTGGCAAAACTGGACAGCTACATGTAAGAGAATGAAACTGTATTACTCTAACTCCATACACAAAAGTAAATTCGAAATGGATCAAAGGCCTGAATGTAAGCCATGAAACCATAAAACTCATAGAAGAAAACATAGGCAAAAATCTCCTGAATATAAACATGAGCAACAGTTTCCTAAACCCATCTCCTTGGGCAAGGGAATCAAAAGCAAAAATGAATAAATGGGACTACATCAAGTTTAAAAGCTTCTGTAGAGCAAAGGACACCATCAGTAGAACAAAAAGGCATCCTACAATAAGGGAGAATATATTTGTAAATGACATATCTGACAATGGGTTAACATTCAAAACATATAAAGAACTCACATGCCCCAACAATCAAAGAGCAAACAACCCAATTAAATAATGAGCAGAGGATATGAAAAGACAATTCTCCAAAGAAGAAATTTAGTTGGCCAACAAGAACATGTAAAGATGCTCCACACTGCTAATTATCAGAGAAATGCAAATTAAAACCACAATGAGATATCACCTCACAGCAGTTAGGATGGTTAACATCCAAAAGACCAGGAACACCAAATGCTGGTGAGGATATGGAAAAAGGTGAACCCTTCTACACTGTTGGTGGGAATGTAAATTAGTTCAACCATTGTGGAAAGCAGTATGGAGGTTCCTCAAAAAACTCAAAATGGAAATACCATTTGACCCAGGAATTCCACTCCTAGGAGTTTACCCAAAGAAAACAAGTTCTCAGATTCAAAAAGACACATACACCCCTATGTTTATTGCAGCACTATTTACAATAGTCAAGATATGGAAGCAACCTAAGCGTCCATCAGTAGGTGAATGGGTAAAGAAGAAGTGGTACATATACACAATGGAATACTATTCAGCCATAAGAAAGAAACAAATTCAACCATTTGCAACAACTTGGATGGAGCTAGAGCGCATTATGCTCAGTGAAATAAGTCAGGCAGAGAAAGACAAGTATCAAATGATTTCCCTCATTTGCAGAGTATAACAACAAAGATAAACTGAAGGAACAAAACAGCAGCAGACTGACAGACTCCGAGAAAAGACTAGCAGTAACCAAAAGGGAGGGTTGGAGTGGGTGGGTGGGGAAGGAAGTAGAAGAGGATTGAGAGGTTTTGTGATTAGTACACATGGTGTGGCGGGGTCATGGGGAAGACAGTGTAGCACAGAGAAGACAAGTAGTGACTCTGTGGCATCTTACTACACTGATGGACAGTGACTTCAATGGGGTATAGAGGGAACTTGATAATATGGGTGAATGTAGTAAGCACATTGTTTTTAATGTGAAACATTCATTAGAGTGTATATCAAAGATACCTTAATAAAAAAAAAGAAGTGAAGGAGAGAGAGTTGTCTCAACAGGTACTTTGGGTAACACACTGGGATTCTGAATGTATGGGGAGTAAGGGCCAGACAACCCCTGCAAGAAAAGAAGAAAAGAAAAGAATGGACAAACCTATTCTAAAAGTCATATGGAAATGCAAGGGGCACAGATGGCCAAAAGAATCTTGAAAAAGAAGAACAAAGTTGGAGGAACCATACCTCCCAATTTCAAAACTTACTGTAAAGCTACAGCAATCCTGAAAAGTGTGATACTGGCATAATTATAGACACATAGGTCAATGCTTTAGAATTAGGACCAGAAATAAGCTCATATGTCTATCAGCAGTTGATTTTCAAGAAGGGTTCCAAGGCCATTCAATGGAGGAGCAAACAACCTCTTCAACAAATGGTGGTGCTGGAACAACTGGATATCCAGACAAAATAACAAATTTGGTTCCCAATCTCACACCATGTACAAAAATTAACTCTAAAATGGATCACAGACCTAAATGTAAGGGCTGCAAGTATAAAACTTTTGGAATAAAACATAAGTGTAACTCCCCATGACCTCGGATTACAGCAAGGTTACTTGACTATGACAGCAAAAGCACAGCCACCAAAAGCAAACAAACAAAAAAGATGAATTGTACACCATCCAAATCAAAAACTTTTGTGCAACAAAAGACTCTACCTAGAAAATGAAAGGACAGCCCACAGGATGGGAGAACATTTACAAATCATGTATCTGATAAGGGTCTATATACCAGAATGCATAAAGAACCCTTACAAAAAAAAAAAAAAAAAAAAAAAAAGGCCAGCAACCCAGTGAAACAATGGGCAAAGGCCTTGCATAGGTGTTCCTGGAAAGCAGTTATAAATGGCCAAGAGGCACATGAAGATGCTCAGTATCATTAACAGATAGGCCAATGCAAACCAAAACCACCATGAGATAGTGCTTCACACCCAATGGGAGGGCTATTATCCACAAGGCAAGGCAAGCAGAAATTAACAAGTTTGGCTGAGGATGTGGAGAAACCAGGACCCACATCACTGCTGCTTGGAATGCAAAATGGTACTGGCACTGTGGGAAATCAGTTGGGTGGCTCCCGAGTAAGGTAAACATGGAATTACTGTATGATCTCACAATGCCAGCCCTAGCTATATACCCACAAGAATTGAAAACACGTGCTGGAACAGAACCTTGTACAGGAATCATCACCGTGGTGCTATTCATGATGGCTACAAGGTGGAAATCCAAACGTCAACAGGTGATGAACGGATACACAACACAAGGTCAACCTTTGGTACAGAGAATATTATTCAGCCATTAAAAGGAACAGAAAGCAGATTCATGGTACAGCATGCACGAGCCACAAGGCAAACATTATGCTGAGTGAAAGTGGCCAGAGACAGAAGGCCACCTATTTACCGGTGTGAGGCCATTTGTAGGAAGTCTCCAGAACAGGCAAACCTCTACAGAAAGGGAGCAGGTTTGGGGCTGCCTTGGGGAAGAGACGGCAGAAGGAAGACTGCCTGAAGAGTACAGGGGTTTCTTTTTGGGGTGTTGCCGATGTCTCAGGACTAGATAGCTATGATGGATGCCCAACACTGCAGGTGGATACTTGGTGCCACCGGACCGTACCTGTTTGAGTTTCTCCTGTCCAGCGGGAAGTGAGAGTTCTCTCAGAGAGAGGTGCCAGGGAGCAGGATGCAAAGGTTCATGTCTGCACCTTACCCTTGCAGGCCCAGGCTCACCAGGGGCCAATGAGAGCAGTGACCTCATGGGATGTACGTCACAAAGCGTGCTCCTTGACCAATGAGGGAATGAGGGGCCAGTCTGTGGTTGTTAGGATACAGAGTTGCCTCCTGAGTACCTCCTGTCTTGAGAGGTTTGGGCCAACCAGCGCACTGTACTGCATTGCACCTCGTCGCAGTGCATCACACCACACCAGATTGCACCTTATTGCATCACACCCCGCCACACTGCAGAGCTAGGCTGGTTGGAGAAAGCACAACCAATGCCCAACATGCCGTGGCACAGGCATAGGAGATATCAAGCATCATCTGGTGGCCAGAGGATGACCCGCTCTCGCACCAACTGAGCAGAGCTGCTGCTCTCCATGAGCCATGTGGAATGCATCCTGCAGGAGGGCCACTATGTCCAGCACATGAGCCCTTCCATGCCAGTCTTCCTAGCAGCCGTCATCCAGTACCTGACAGCCAAGGTCTTGGAGCTGGCAGGCAACAAGGCCCAGACACAGGGCAGTAGGTGCATCACACCAGAGATCGTGGCCATGATGCTCCACAGCAACCGGCTACTCAGCAGCTGTTCAGAGAGACTACCTTCTCACATGTGGCCTCAGCCAGGCAGTAGCTTGCTCAACACGACCTGGGTCCCTGGGCCTGGGCCAACAGGTACCAGGTCCGCTCACAGCCAGCAGAGTCCCAGACTGGCTGGTGCCTTGGGCAAAGTTGTTGACATTTAATAAAGTGTTTTAAGAAAAATAAAAAATAAATTTAAAAATGTAATACATGTTCCATCTTCATTTTGATGTTGTTAAGTTACATGCTATTTAGTATTGTTAAGATGGCAATATTTTCCAAATTGATCTACAAATTCAATGCAATCACTAACAAACTTCTAACTGGCTTCTTTGCAGAAATTGCTAGCTTATCCTAAAATTTATACAGAAGCACAAGAGACCTAGAATAGCTAAAATGATGCTGAAAGAGAATAACAAAAGCTGAAGTCTCCTACATCCTGATTTCAAAACTCATTACAAAGCTACAGTAGTTAAGAAGCTGTGATATTGCCATAAGGATGGACTTATAGATCAATGGAATAGAACTGAGAGCCTGGAAATAAACCCACACATTTGTGGTCCATTGGTTTTCAAAAAGAGTGTCAAGACCATTTAGTCGGGAGAAGATAGTCTTTCCAATAAATGATGCTGGGATAACTGGATATCTACATGCAAACAAAAGAATCTGGACCCTTGCCTTATGCACATAATAATAATAACATATTGACATAGTTAATGAAAAATTAACTCAAAATGGATCAAAGATCTATACATAAGATCTAAAACTATAAAAATCTTAGAACACATAGGTATAAATTTTGTGACTTTGGACTAGGCAATGGTTTCTTATCTATCAAACCAAAACCATAAAAAAACAAACACAAAGATAAATTGGAGATAATCAAAATGAAAAACTTCTGTGTTCAGAGGACACCATCAGGAAATAGAAGACACCCCATAGATTGGGAGAAAATATTTCAAAATCACTTATTTGTTAAATGACTTAGATACAGAGTATATAAAGAACACCTAGAACTCAATAATAAAATGACAAATAGCCCAATTAAAAAATGGCAAAGTATGTGAATAGACATTTTTCCAAATAAGGTATACAAATAGCCAATAAGCACATAGAGAGATGCTCAACATAATTATCCACCAGAGAAAAGCAAAACAAAACCAAAACGAGGTATCACTTCACACCCAATAGGATGGAAGTAATCAAGAAAGTAGATCTCATGGACAAAAAGATCAGAATAGTGGTTACCAGAGGCCAGAGGTGGGGTGGGGCTGAGGGTAGGAAAAATTGGGAGGCAGGTCAAAAGATACACACTTCCAGTTATGTTAAATCAGTACTAGAGATGAAATGTACAACATGATGACTATAGTTAACACTGCTATATGATACATACAAAAAAGTTGTTAAAAGTACATCCTGAGAGTTCTCATCACAGGGAAAATCTTTTTTTTCTATTAACCGTGTCTATATGAGATGATTGATGTTAACTACATATAATGTCGTAATCATTTCCACAATATGTGTAAATCAAACCATCATGTTGTACATCATAAACTTATACAGTGATGTATGTAAGTTATTTCTCAGTAATATTGGTAATCAAAGAAGAGAGATAATAAGTAATATTGGCAGGGCAGAGCCAAGATGGCAGCATAAGTAGGACAGTGGGAATCTCCTCCCAGAAACATATATATTTTTGAAAATACAACAAATACAACTTATCCCTAAAAGAGAGACCAGAAGATACAGGACAACAGCCAGACTACATCCATACCTGCGAGAACCCAGTGCTTGGTGAAGGGGGTCAGATACAAGCCGTGGCCCTGCATGACCTGAGCGCCCCTCACCCGAGCTCCCGGCAGGAGGATAGGAGTCAGAGCACGGAGGGAGAGGGAGCCCAAGAATGCTATATAGCCAGCCCTACACATCTGCACCAGAACGCAGACACAGTGCATGCGTGGGGTGCTGGAAACTAGGGAAACAGGACAGTAAGACCAGTGAGCGGGACTCCACAGCCGGCGCCACTGGGACAAAGAAAAGTGAGTACTTTTTGAAAGTCTTAAAGGGACAGGGATCCCTGGATGGAAGTGTCCCGGGACACTTAGCCCAGCAGCTGGGAATCCCGGGGAACTCTAGGTGCCCTAACTTCCTGGGCAGCAGCTCTGAGACACCTCACGGTGAAAAACAGCCCCCCATCCATTCCCCCTCCGGTGCCTCACCACAGCAGAGCAACAGCCTGAGGCTGGCCAAACCAACAGCAAGGGAGCTTCCTTCATAGTGGCTGGGCAAAAAACAGAGACCCAGTCTACATGCAATTACCCAACACAAGCCGCTAGGGGTCGCCGTTGTCCCAGTAAAGAAAGGCCAGGAGCAAGTGGAAAGGGTCTTGGCTCTCCCAGCTGACAGACGAGTCAACAGCATAGCACTGCATCTATCAACATGAAAAGGCAAACAAATTTGATCCAGACCAGACTAACTCAGACATCTTCCACATCTTCCTCTGAGAAGGAATCTGGGGAGATAGATTTAACCAATCTTCCTGAAAAAGAATTCAAAACAAAAGTCATAACCATGCTGATGGACTTGCAGAGAAATATGCAAGAACTAAGGAGGGAGAATACAGAAATAAAACAATCTCTGGAAGGACTTCAAAGCAGAATGGACGAGATGCAAGAGACCATTAATGGACTAGAAATCAGAGAACAGGAACACAGAGAAGCTGATGCAGAGAGAGATAAAAGGATCTCCAGGAATGAAAGAATATTAAGAGAACTGTGTGACCAATCAAAATGGAACAATATTCGCATCATAGGAGTACTAGAAGAAGAAGAAACAGAAAAAGGGATAGAAAGTGTCTTTGAAGAAATAATTGTTGAAAACTTCCCCAAACTGGGGGAGGAAATAATCGATCAGACCACAGAAGTACACCAAACTCCCAACAGAAAGGACCCAAGGAGGACAACACCAAGACACATAATAATTAAAATGGCAAAGATCAAGGACAAGGACAGAGTTTTAAAGGCAGCTAGAGAGAAGAAAGCAGTCACCTATAAAGGAAAACCCATCAGGCTATCATCAGACTCCTCAACAGAAACCTTACAGGCCAGAAGAGAATGGCATGATATATTTAATGCAATGAAACAAAAGGGCCTTGAACCAAGAATACTGTATCCAGCACGATTATCATTTAAATATGAAGGAGGGACTAAACAATTCCCAGACAAACAAAAATTGGGGGAATTTGCCTCCCACAAACCACCTACCTCTACAGGGTATTTTAGAGGGACTGCTCTAGATGGGAACACTCCTAAAAAGAGCACAGAACAAAACACCCAACATATGAAGAATGGAGGAAGCGAAATAAGAAGGGAGAGAAATAAAGAATAATCAGAAAGTGGTTATAATAGCTCAATAAGCAAATTAAGTTAGACAGTAAGATAGTAAAGAAGCTAACCATGAACCTTTGGTAACCACAAACTTGAAGCCTGCAATGGCAATAAGTACGTATCTTTCAATAACCACCTTAAATGTAAATGGACTGAATGCAGCAATCAAAAGACACAGAGTAATGGAATGGATAAAATAGCAAGACCCAAGGGTGGAGCCAAGATAGCAGTGTGAGTAGAGCAGCAGAAATCTCCTCCCAAAACCACATATATTTTTGAAAATACAACAAAGACGACTCTTCCTAAAAGAGAGACCAGAAGACACAGGACAATAGCCAGAATACATCCACACCTGCAAGAACCCAGCGCCTCTCAAACGGGGTAAGATACAAGCCCCGGCCCAGCGGAACCTGAGCACCTCCCACCTCAGCTCCTGGCGGGAGGAGAGGAGTCAGAGCGGGGAGGGAGAGGGAGTGCAGGACTGCTAAACACCCAGTCCTAGCATTCTGCACCAGAGCGCAGATACAGTGCATGCGTGGGGTGATGAAAACCAGGGCAACAGAACAGTAAGAACTGTGAGTGGGTCCCTGCAGCGGGTGCCCCAGGGACAAAGAAAAGCGAGTGCTTTTTGAACATCTTAAAGGGACAGGGACCCCAAAGTTGGACAGAAGCGTCCCGGGATGCTTAGCCCAGCGGCAAGGAAACCAGGGAACTCCAGGCACCCTAACCCTCTGGATAGCAGGGCAGCTCAGAGGCTCCCCATGGAGATAAACAGCCTCCCGGACGTTTCCCCTCAAACGCAGCTCTGCCATATTGGAGCAGCAGCCCGAGGCAGGCCACGCTCACCGCAACAGCGGAGATAAACTCCATAGCTGCCGGGCAAGAATTAGAAGCCCCGTCTATGTGCAGCTTCCCAGCACAAGCCAGTAGAGGTCGCTGTTCTCCCAGGAGAGGAAGGCCACAAACCAACAAGAAGGGATGTTCTCCCAGCCGTCACTTGTGCCAGCTCTGCAAACTATCTCTATCGCCATGAAAAGGCAAAATCTGAGGCAGACAAAGATCACAGAATCAACACCTGAGGAGACAGACCTAACCAGTCTTCCTGAAAAAGAATTCAAAATAAAAATCATAAACATGCCAACAGAGATGCAGAGAAATATACAAGAGCTAAGAGATGAAGTCTGGAGGGATATTACAGACATCCAGAGGAAGATTACAGAAATAAAACAACCTCTGGAAGGAATTATAAGCAGAAAGGATAAGATGCAAGAGGCCATTGATGGAACAGAAACCAGAGAACAGGAATGCATAGAAGCTGATGCAGAGAGAGATAAAAAGATCTCCAGGAATGAATCAATATTAAGAGAACTGTGTGACCAATCCAAATGGAACAGTATTCGCTTTATAGGGTTACCAGAAGAAGAAGAGAGAGAAAAAGGGATAGAAAGTGTCTTTGAAGAAATAATTGCTGAAAACTTCCCCAAACTGGGGGAGGAAATAATCAATCAGACCACAGAAGTACACCGAACTCCCAACAGCAAGGACCCAAGGAGGACAACACCAAGACAAATAATAATTAAAATGGCAAAGATCAAGGACAAGGACAGAGTTTTAAAGGCAGCTAGAGAGAAGAAAACAGTCACCTATAAAGGAAAACCCATCAGGCTATCATCAGACTCCTCAACAGAAACTTTACAGGCCAGAAGAGAATGGCATGATACATTTAATGCAATGAAACAAAAGGGCCTTGAACCAAGAATACTGTATCCAGCACGATT